CTTTGTGAATGGTGTTAGAGAATGGTCGAGTTTCATTCTTCTGCATGTGGCTGTCCAATTTTCCCAGCACCATTTATTGAAGAGACTTTTTTCCATTGCATGTTTTTTCCTGCTTTGTCAAAGATTATTTGACCACAGAGTTGAGGGTCCATATGTGGGTTCTCTATTCTGTTCCATTGGTCTATTCATACTACATTTTCAAAAACTAGGGGGATGAATAAAAGGTGCTTTGGCTCCTTGGAGAAATGATTAATTCCTGGGGTTGGGGCATTAATAGTAAATGATGAGTGTGGAAAATCTGGTGATGCCAGAAAGTACCGAAATGCTCATAAAATACTTTAGCTGAAGCTGAAAGGATACAGGAGCCAACTTGAAGGGGCTCCCAAAGGCCAAACCTTGGGCAATTTGAGCAAACAAATAATAATGGCAATGGGTTATAGGTCCTAGTATAAAATAAATACAGGAACCCGTAGTACTATAAGTGAATAATTAAAAAAATACATATATAGGGGAAAAGGGACAGCTCTTCCTTACATCAAAATTCTAATAAATGCTGAAGGAATGAGGAAAATAGAAAGTGTAAAAACACCACAGCAATCATTATTGCAGCAAGAATCTTTGATGGATCCTAAAATCAGTGGACAAAAGCATGAGAAACAAGGTATCTGTCTAGTCTCAAAGCATCTCCCTCAAAGATACTTCTTAATTACAAAGGGTAAAACAGTAGCTTCAGAACTGAGAAACCTGGAAGACACCATCCGAGCCAGGTGATCGAGGTTAGCATCCCCTGTGATAGGACACAGCAACAGCATACACCTCCCGAAGTGCTGCATTACAAGGACATAGCAGCACTTCTGTGGTATTCTTGCTGACGATATATAAACTCAGTCTAACAACGAGAACATCTCAAACTGGAACTGAAGAACATCCCACAAATAACTGGCTAGTATTCTTCAGTATTTTGGTGCTGATGCCGTGGGAGAGAGTCTGAGGATGGAGAAGACGAGAGGACAAAATCATAGTGAACAGTGACATTAGGAGAAGGAAGCGAGAAGAGCAACCAGACAGGCAGGGGGAGAACTAGGACTACACTACAAGTTCTGGAAAGTGCTGTATCAATACTGCCAACACTATGGGAGAGGTTTAGAGGGTGAGAAAGGACAAAAAGTTACTTTATTTGGTGGTTGGCAGTTGTTTGTGACTTTTGAGAGAGTAGCTTCAGTTGAATGCCAAGAGGTTAGGTGTTTTCTTTCTTTTTTCTTTTTTTAAAAGATATTATTTTTAAGTAATCTCCACACTGAATATGGGGCTTGAACTTACAACCCTGAGATCAAGAGTCACATGCTCTACCGACTGAGCCAGCCGGGAGTGCCCCCCCTTTTTTCTTAAAGAATATTATTTATTAGGCCCTGCAAGAGATGAAAAGAGACTTTATCTCTCTTTTAAAAAAGATTTATTTATTTGAGAGAGAGTGCATGAGAGAGAGAGCAGGGAGAGGGGCAGAAGGAGAGGGAGGAGGAGGAAGCAGACCCCACCCTGAGTGCAACACAGGGCTCAATCTCAGGACCCTGAGATCAGGACCTGAGCCAAAATCAAGAGTCAGACGCTTAACTGACTGAGCCACCCAGGTGCCCCAAGACTTTATCTCTTTTTAAAAAGACTTTCTCAGTTTTAATTCTCATGGTGACCCCATTAATCCTTTTTATAGATGAAAACAGTGAGACTGAGAGGTTAAATGACTTGTCCAAGCCCTCAGAGAAAGGAAGTATAAATGGAGACTTTGACCAAGTTGTGTTTGATCCCAAAGTTTATGATTTTAATGACATAATGCCCCTTTCTCTCATGGAAGCCAGACTAAAAGTGGTTAAGGGGCAGTAAGGAAGCAGAGGTGGCAAGTAGAGAGGACTCTTGGGGTAGGACTGGTGGACATGGAAGGGAAGAGATGGGACCACAGCTCTGGTCAGCAGGAGAGAGGGCAGCTGCTTTTTTGGGTTATAGGAGACATTCATCGGTTTGTTGAGAATTTATTTTTTATTTTTAAAGATTTATTTATTTATTTACTTGTCAGAGAGAGTGCGTGCACAGAAGCAGAGGGAGAAGCAGGCTCCCCGCTGAGCAGAGAGCCCGATGCGGGGCTTGATTGGAGAACCCTAGGATCATGACCTGAGCCGAAGGCAGACACTCAACCAATTGAGCCACCCAGGCGTCCCGGTTTGTTGAGAATTTAGGAAAAGAGTGAAACGAATTGTGAGAGAAAAGCAACACGTAGAGAAAAAAAATACAGGTGGAGGCAAGTGCTTTGGGAAGGAAGGTAAACACCTCCTTCTCTGAGGCAGATGTGAAGTGAGTGTCGGTAAGGATTAACGGAGTTTTGAGATGGAGGCACATGGAGATGAACTCAATCTTGGTAATGTAGGAGGCCAAGAGGTGTGGCAGGGTGTGGAGAAGTATGCAAATGATTTCCATATCTGCTCTGGGGAAAACAGAGATGTATGGAATCGTAACTGGGCAATAGGAAAGACCCAACTGAGATGAGAATATGAATTCACAGCAGTAGTAATAAAGCCCAGTTGTTCTGTTTTTAGAGATGTTCATTCAAATGAATAGGACATTATAGGTGGACATTATAGGTCTGTGTCACGGTAGACACCTAGGGGTCTGGAATTTCACTGAGAGTCTCAGGTTCCAGTTCTCAAAAGTCACGAGTCCCCCTTTCTTCCCTGGTGAGAACACACTGGACACCTCAGAACGAGGTCACACATATTACTTATATTTCAGTGCAAAACCACCCAAATCCTCAGTCTGTTTTCAAGACTGAAACAAAATATCACAAGGCTACAATTTTCCCCAGAGGCTTACATTGTTGAGACCGGCATTTTTCTTTTCACCAAAATTTTGGAAATTGAGTTCTTTTACATCAGCAGCTCTTGAGATACTATAAAGCAAACACTTTTTCAGAAAGGTCTTCAGAGAATTAAAGTTCACTAGCAGATACACTGCTGAGTACCTCTGGTGGGTTTGAGTATAAACACAGTCATGTTCTCCTCACACCTCTATGATGCTGGTCTTCAAGGCTAGGGTGAGGGAGTCTGGCCTCTGTTCTTACCTCCAGGGCTAACTTCTCTTCTCTACGCATGAAAGGCTGAGGGCACGGTTCAGTTCTGACTTCCCACGGCAGTCTCTTTGCTCCTTCACTTCTCCTTCTTCCCTCTGTCCTCAGTGGAGAATTCCCTGGTTGTTAGGTGGGGACTTTTTGTGGCTGCTGATAATGCAGTTTCCTAAGTGCCTCCCAAGGGCTTTAGAACCATGTCCTGCTGTGGTGCGGAAGGGGCAGTGGCAAGTGGGCCAACACTGGGACGTCTGCACAGCCAGTATTCCCCGTGATCTGCGCCCTACTGGGTTTGATGTGCTCTGCCTAGACTCACGAGGTGACACAGGAGACAAGGAAGACTCCACGGCAGGGAGGAAGAGACAGGGAGGACAGGCAAAGCAGCGGAGTGGGGCAGCCGTTACCTGGGCACGCTTCTTGCACAGAAGTACAACGATGCTCAGGAAGCCAGCCGCCGCTGCATAGCCCAGAGGGGTCAGGCCGCTTTCAGAAGAGGCATCCACATTGGCCCCAAACTCCAGTAGCAGGGCCACCATTTCTGTGTAACCAAGATGAGACTGGACACACAGAATTGGAGCATTATTTAAAACCTCTGTCCGGTAATTAATGTTGGCACCTCCCAAAATCAGCAGTCGGCTGACCTAGAAATAAGTACATAGAAATCACACTCAGGCAAATTTCAGTTGCATCCTTTCAGTCATCTTTAATTAAGTCATCTAGGACCCCACAACAGCACCTAGTAGCACTTAGTAACTGCTTTGTTTTATAATCTTCACTTGTTCCTTTTTTGATACTGTGCCTTTAGAAAGGGTTGTGAAATGTCTCCTTTCCACGAACTGCTCAGTCATGAGAGCAGACGCCACCCACACTATAGTGCGGAACCCAGCCTCTTCTGAGTGAACTGTTGGTCAGAAAAGCTCCTACCCGAACAAAGCCTACCTGAGATCAATTTACTGCCTAGAAGCAGGAGGACCTAATCCTATAAACCAGAGCAGGCTTATAGAAGGTAGTAGCGCAACAGGTCTGGTCTTCAATTCACAGAACAAAATGCAACAATTTCAAATATATTAGATTATCAGTAAAAGGCTGACTGATAGGAGATAGTCTAAGGTAAAGTCAAATATCAGTTAAATAGCCACTTAAATGTCCCAATTTTATTTCTGCACAGCTAATTCTTTAATCTATCTGTAATTCACAAGCATCTACCTTTATATTTGGAGTGTAGAGATTTCGTAAAGATGCCAATGCCATGGAAAGACCTTCTGTGCTATAGGAGATCCAGAGACCTTGGAGGATGGAAGATGACACACCAACTTTTTTACTCAAACCCTGAAAAAGAAATAGAGACAGTTAAATTATTAGCCCAGCTGAAGAGTACCATGAGTAGTGAGTGGCTTCTAGGTTTGTTGTACTAAGAAATGAGAATGGAGTCTTGCCCTAACTACGTCCAGGCCCAGCAAAGCCAGTCCAAGGAAGGAAGATACTAATGAAGTCTGGCACCTAATAAGTGAATCTGGGGAGGTATTCTCTTAAAAAAGTTAAGCTACTTCTGCCTGCTTTGTTCCTTGAAATGCCGGTTGTTCTTGCCTAGAATACGTACGTATGTCCAAAACAGCAATTCATGGCCAACCTTGTTTCATTTATACTCCTGACCCTATTCCCTATTCTCCTTTCCCCATCACTGAATTATTTGGAAGCAAATCCCAGATATCTTATCAGTTAATATACAACTATTTCAGTAAATGCCTCTAAAAAGATAAGGGCTCTTTTTAAGACAAAGCCCAACATCATTATGATACCTAAAATTAACAAGGATTCTATAATATGAAATATCCAGTGTTCAAATTTCCTTGACTGTCTCAAAAAGAGAAATAATTTTTTTTCTAAATTGTAATCCATAAAAGATCCATATACTATAACCAATTTTAAAACACTTTAAAAACGTAAAGGGAAAATGAGATTTTCTTCTATTAATTTTTTAAACAAAATATTGTGCACATATTCCATACATGTACACATGCTTTTGCCTCATTCTATTTCAAGAGAGATATAGTAGTCCATTATATGGATGTATCATAATTTACTTACAGATAAGTTAGGTTCTAGAGCTCACCTCTACCGTAGATCCTAGAAAACCAGGAAACTTAGCTCTGATTCCCTCTTTGGGCCTCAGTCTCCTAATATGGGCTATGTGTGAGCCTCACCAAGATCTTTTGAGGAACTGTAAACTATATTAACCAATTATACAGAAAAATCATTATAAATTGATATTTATAGTTCAACAGAGGAAGCTTTTAGTAATGGAAGACAAGCTCTATATATTATGGTTTAAGGAAAAAAAGAAAGGGAATCCAACATTTATTCAGTATCTGCTATGTGTCAGGTTCTATCCTAGGGCCTTTTCATGTTAGCTTCTTTAATCTCCGTGACAGTTGAATTTATTACTATTTTTATATAGGAGGAAACAACCCAGAGAAGGCTAAGTAATTTGCCCAAAGTCCTACAACCATTAAAAAGTGGAGCTGGAATTAGAAGCCAAGTCCTTTTAACTCTAAAGTTCATGTTCCTTCCATTAGACCAAGTTAAACCTGAGCCAGGACTTTAATTCTGAATTCTTAGCTGGAAAAGTAGCAACTAAAATAAACAAAGCAGCTGATTGCTGGCTTCTCCCTTTACCTTTAATTCTGAACCATTCTCCACCCTTGAGTGCCTTCTCCAAAATTGTCCTTTTTTATCCTAGACAATCTGATCTATTCCTATAGCTTTGCTCTTATGATTTCAACTAAGCATTATTTCTTTTCTAACTATGATATTTAAAGCACAACTATGACTATGACCTATAATAGTTAACTTTCTCTTAAACACTGACTTAACATGAAATTCCTTAGATATTTTCACTTAATCCACAGAATATTATAAAGATTATCCTACAGAAGAAGAATGCTGGACCAGTGTTTATTAAAGTCACACAGCAATTCTACTTTTGCTCAAGGTCTCCAGCATCAGAGGGAGTTTAGAAAATGTTGTATTTTAGCTTCTCAGAAAGATATAGCAACTCATTCCTCTGCTCAGGGCCTCTAAGTTTGGGTTTAGTTTTCTTGAATATAAATTGCTTCTTCTTTTCTGTGTGATACCCAGGACAGTTTTGGTCATTTAAAGATAGCAAAGGAATTTTAAATGAGAAAGCCTAAGATGTTCAGAGAAAAGGTGGATGTTCCCAGAATACCAAGTCATAATTTTTGCTCAAGGGGACTTGGGTGTACTTCTGGTAATGGTGGGTCTAAACTGGATCCTGCTAAGGACAGCTAGGAAAAACTGTACAAAATTTAAAAATTATCCTCATTGGAGACATGGGAGGAATAACAGGTTGGAGAAGAATTACTAGACCAAGTAAGGATAGGATGGAGCCCAGGAGAGCAGTTTAGAGCTACTTTTCTCCTCGATGTGTTTGCCAATTCTGCAGAATTAGCTAG